AATTTCGTGATGGTCGCCCGTCCACTGCTGTGAACTACAAAAACATCGATGCTGTGCGCCGTGTGATCAAAACAGACAGGTATGTGACATACCATTAGATTCGGGCATCTTTAGGCATAGGCACGAGTCAAATACAGTCAATACTACACAAACATTTGGGTGTGAAAAAGCCGTGCTCTCAGTGGATCCCACACACATTTGACTGAGGCTCAAAAAACGGTGCAATGCCATGCTTACCAGATTCAACGAAGGGGCATCAAATTTGGTGTGGGACATAATGACAGGTGACAAAACAAGGATTTAGAGTTACGATCCCAAAACAAAACAGCAATCAAGCATATGGGTCTTTCGAGATGAGCCGAAGCCGACCAAAGTGGCGCGCGTGCAAAGTGCCTGTAAGCTTTGTAAGATGATTGCTTCTTTTTTTAATAAAACTGGACACGTGGCTACTGTTGCTTTGGAGAATCGGTATACCATGATTAGTGATTGGTACACGACTATTTGTTTACCGGAAGTTATTGACAAACTCCGTAAAAATAACCATAAACGCCGTATCATCTTGCACGACGATAATGCCAGTTTTCACACGGCCAAACAGAAAAATGAATTTTTGAATGTGTACAACGTTGACCTTATGAGCCATCCCGCGTACAGTCCTGACCTGGCACCTTGTGACTTTTATTTATTTCCAAATTACGAACCAGTTGCGGTCAACGATTTTCTTCACATGATGAGGCTGTCGAAGAGTATGAAAAATATGTTTCAGAGATTGTCACGGAGGAGTGGCATAAATGTTTTCAAAATTGGTTCATAAGAAAAAGTGCATTAACGCTAACGGAGAATGTTTTGAGAAACAATAAATTCACTTCTATCTTATCTAGTTTTTTTTTTTGCCTTTTATTTTTAATTCTTCCCGGATTTCAGAGTGAGGTATTTATTTACTCTATGTGTATTATTTCCTTGAAATTTTGGTACCTATTCCGGTTCTGTGCTAATAACTGTCATAACATTATACCATAATCTTCCAATCTAAGTCACGTACATGGGGGAATAAATTAAAAGATCCTGCGTATTTGCCTTCTTGACCCTGAAAATAAAAATCGTTGCTTTCTTTATTCGACAATCTCATAAAATCGTTGTCGTTAAGGGTCTATACGACCTTAAATGGCTTTGGTTAATTACTCAACAATGAAAGTGTTGAATCACAACACTTTGGAAAAAATATATAGTAAAATTGAGGGTATACACTGATGACTATACGGTGCGCAAACACGATTTCTAAAAATTTTAACTATAGAAAAACAAAACACAAAGTTACCTCAAAATTTTACAAGAAAACCGATGTATTCAATGAGTACTTACATATACCAATGACTTTTTTATATCAACTGATTAAATAGAACACGTATAGTATACCATATTCATTTTTAAAATGGCCACAATTTCGTTTGTAAAAAAATAACTTCTGCAATAAAACCAGTGTCCCTCCTGAACAATTTGAATTCCAGCTGAGGTAGTATCAACTCTTAAGTAATTGAGTTCGATAAACTCGATGGCTCAGCAGTGACTACTGTGCGTGCTAGATAAGGACGTTCCAGATTCGACCTGGTAAGACCAATTTGAGAAACGTGCTTTTCTAAATTCTGGTCGAGATGTTACGATAACGTCGTGGTACACGTGGTTTACACACACACACACACACACGCACACACACACGTATACACACACACGCGTACACACACACACTGAGACTGATATTGATACACACACTCTCGTTCACGCATAATAGTCGACAAAAAATTTACTTATTACTAATAAAAAAAAACATATGTAAATGGTACACATATAATATACATATGGTAAAGTGTGTAGTAGTCACCTTGTTATTTTTAAATCACTTAAACAAAAGAACACGAACCCACCATCTATCAGTCTGACTGCTGGCCAACCATACGTCAAAAACGGTCACAGCAATACCAAACCACCCCTTTAAAAGTCAGTGCAATACCAAAGTACTCCTTTTTAGGTTACAAAATTACTAAACCCTATAAAGGTTAGATCTATACCAAACCACCCCAGTAACAGCCTGCAGCTATCTCCTCCATATACAGAAGCTAATTAAACGATAATTAAAATACAAAGAAAAAGAAATTACTTCGTGTTAGGCAAATACAAATTAAATTTCGTACTCTATTGTTTTGCCAATCGTCGTGTTAAATTTCAACAATAATTTTGTTTGCTGGTCGATATAATTCGGGCATTGTATTTGGCTTTAGTTATATGAAAGTGCATAGAGCTAAGAATTGTTAGTGCCTGAAAGTGAAACATTCTTTTTTTAACGAAATAACCAAATCTTACATACGTTTCGGAAAAACAATTTTTGTATTTTAACAGTTAGCTTGTTTGTTTTACATTTTATTGACATATTATTGCCAAATCGGTTTTTAGAAAAAGAATGAGGAACTGGACAACAGAATACAGACAACGGCGCGTTGTGATGTGAAAATGATGTAGTAGCTAAAGTTGAAAAGGGAAAACATCGATAGTCCGATCATGTTGATAGAATAGGTGATAATAGAATAACGAAACAAAAAACTACACATAGAATTTGGGTGAATACGCGGGGAGAGGTCGATCTCAGCGCCCATATCACAACAAAGTTCATTAAAACATTAAGTTTAAAGTAAAATGAATAGAATAATCTTGCATGAACAGTTTGATACGAGTGTAGGTAGGAAAAGTGGCTTGTTAGGAGTATAAAAAGTGAAAACCTATGTATGTCTGTGAACCTAGACTTAAAAAAATGAAAATTTGACACCAGAATGAATGACAGTAGTAAAAATCCTTTCCTAGCCAGTGGTATGTTTGTTTTTCAATAAAAACTAATTGACGGGATGAACAAGTCATGCGCTTAATGGTAAGCGACACGCCCGTCCATTACAGTTGCAGTACCACTCAGAGCTATAAATCACAAAGATCTGAGGGACGATGCCACTGCGCATGACACCCTGAGACAAGTTGACAAGTCCCGTAATTTCACGTACATTATATTGGCTATCAACTAATATTTCCCTTATCCCACGCTAGGTGAGGTCGGCATAACATGTATTTTTCTTCCGACTGACTCCTTTATATCAAATCTCATAATGTTTTAAAAATGGGTTCAAGAGCGATGCAAAATTCTTCTGAATGGAAAATTTTGATGGACATGTAGTCCGCTACGTTGGTTTGTTTGAAAAAAAAAACAAATATACGTAAATGTGATTCGAAAAAAATGTATGCATGGTGCCATCGGGCAAAAACCTAAAAATACGATAGACATCGATAGTATTTTAGATCCCCTTCAGTAATTTAAGAGATAAATATAGTTAACACTAAAACACTAACAAAAGATGGAAATATACTGTCTGCCCCAAAATTGTATCATCAAAACATGTATTTATTTCCAGATTTTTTGTATTCCTTGGGCCAATTTTGTAGAATAAATTAAACGCCAAACTGGCCATATATCATTTTTGTTACATAAAGGTTAAAAAAATTCTCCTAGTTCAGGTACATGTGTTATATTTTACATTTATTCGCATAATTAGTCTTTAGTTATTCATTTGAACAATACGTTATTAAATGATTTTTTTTATTTTTTATTTACTTATATGTTTGAGCAAAATGAAGTAAATCTATGATAATTACAGTCACTTCTACAAACTCATAGCTCTAGACAGACTCCGTTCCAGTTGTTCACCGAGCTGATACATCTCGTTGCCTCGGGTTACCTAATACTACAGCACTTCGCACATGCGAATTTCTACAGACAATAAGGACTTCGGACTTTATCAAAATTATATATATTTTTGATTAGCCTACAATAGAGTTTCACTGCTGGGCAAAGGCTTTCCCTCGGACTTAGAACTCTCTTTGTCCACAGTAATCTCTAGCCAGTCACAAGAGAACGCGTCTAGGTTATTCCATCATCGACGGCCATCTTGGGCCATCATTCATCAAAACTTCTTTATTGTGGTGTGCTTATATTGTAAACCAGGAAACTGTCTTTTAAATCACGAATAAAATTCTGTTTCGGAGCTAATTACAAGTAGTAGTTTTTTTATTAAAGATTCATTTAACTTTTTAAAACTGCTTAATTTACCACCTCAGTAACCTTTGCTAGCTGGAAATTGACTAAAGCTGTTGATCCTGACGCTGAAGATTCAATATTTAACTTTATACTTTCAGATAACAGTCTGGGAACAGTAACTGCAGGATATGAAAATACAAAATGCTATAAATTAATCAACAAATGGCAAGTCTGCTATGCAAAAATACTTTTGTAAAATGTTAACACAGCTTAAGAAGATTTAAAAACTGGGCGTAATATGATGATGATTTTGATGCTGCGTTTAGAAAATTTACCGACTCCGAACTTTCAGAAGTATCACAATGACTGAACGCATCTCAGTACGAAAGGAGTACTGCCTATAAAAACGGAAGAAAGAACATATCCGAACACATTCCTTATTAATTTACCACCGAAAGCGGTTATTATGAAGTGGGTAGGTTCACGTCACGCTTCTAATTTTAGTGAATGCAAATTTACGTGAAAGTTTTGTGTTTAAAAATGTAATAGGATCTGGTGATGTGATTTTTATAATTGTGCTGATTGTGTGTTAGAGATAAAGTATAATGTGTTCATGTTCATTGTAAATTGGTGGGCAATATACGATATTATAGAAATAAAGCAATCTGGCATGCTAAGAGTGGCAGTTATCACAAAGCCTCCATCATAAAATAATCTGTGTTTAGTATCAACTTTTTTGGAGAATTTGTCCACTAATATCATAAATATGATTTAAGGCTTTTAAGCTGTCAACTGGATAATATTATTATGAGTAACTTTTGTTATATTCGTCACTAATACATTTGTTTTAAAATCGAATCACTATTTTTTTTTTAAATTTTTAATTAATCTAACACAGCTCTTTGTTTTTCAGTACATACTATTCCCTGCCTTACTGGCTATAACACGAGCAAGTCATGTATATCATGTACCAGCAGAAGTAATGCAGCGTATCAAATATATTCAAAATCACAATCATCAAGTTCTAAATCAATATCAACAACAACAACAACATGGACAAGGCTTTGAACAACAAGCTTATAATAATGAATTGACCAATCAAGGTCATCAACAAGAATTAAGTCATCAATTTCAAAATCATCAACTACAGAACTATCTATTAGGGCCGCAAGAAATTCAAACCGCTCCATTATCATTACATCAGATTCAAGCACCTCAGCTTCAACATCAAATTCAAGAACAAATTGCACCTCAAATTCAGCCACAAAGTTACGATCATCAAATCTCAGTTCCGTTGCAACCTCCTCCGCATCAAGAATTACAGGTACAAGTTAAACAAATACAATTACCTCAGATACAAGTCATTAACCTCAATTAAATTATCAAATTCCTACTCATTAAAGTGATAAATCAAATCAAATTCAACAGCTTCACGAAAACATTCACCAAGGTCTAAGTTATGGTGGTCACAGGCAGGGAAGACCTGGAGAGAAGTCAGCCAAGATCGTTGGATATAAGTTCGAAAAAGAAGGGCCTAACTATCGATACGCCTATGAAACTGAAAATGGTGAGATTATTTGCAAGATTTTTGTTATTGTAGTTACATAGAAGTAAGTTAGTTTTCATTTAGGTATCTTTCTCGGTGGTTCTCAGTTTTCAATATTTTCCATTTTTTATTAGATTAGAATAATTGATATTAGAATATAAGAGATGGTAGGTAAAGCAATTTATGTACATTTCTAGTCTATCAATATTATTTACTATCTAATACAAAAGATTTAAATTAAACATATTTGTCATTTTCAAATTACAAAAGCGACACACGAAAACAATTTCAAGTTTCAAATAAGAAAGCAGAACAATTTCATGAAATTTCCAGGAATCAAAGCCCAAGAAGCAGGTACAATCGGCAAAGGTTCCCGAGTTCAAGGTGGCTATTCTTACAAAGGAGACAACGGTCAGACTTACACAGTACAATACATAGCTGATGAACAGGGTTTTAGAGCTCAAGGTGCCCATCTGCCAACACCACCACCTATTCCTGAAGCTATTGCCAAGTCTTTGGAGCAGAACGCTAAGGATGAGGCAGCTGGTGTCTTTGATAACGGTTAGTAAATATATATTGCTGTGTTTAAAAAAGTATCATAATCTTCATTGAATTGACGATGAAAAATAATTATGACTTATAATAGCTACACACTTCAGACAACATACTCAACGTGATGAACGTGAAAAATTTACTGTTATATCACGTGTTATATATATATATATATATATATATATATATATATATATATATATAT